TTGTTTGAAATACCTGTTTCCATTGGGTTATTTAAATTATTACCTTTATCTTAGCAGAGCACTGAAAGATAGGGAATATGTTTTGATTTTACTTATGATAAATTCAGCAAAAGGATGTCTGGATCCAGTAGAGGTATTGGTTGGGACAAGAGGGAAGGAGCGAGCTTATAAGGACAATATAGCCTCTCCACTGCCAACTGGTGTCTCTCTGCTGCCAACTGATGTAGACTCTGCAAGGTTGCAGCAAGCTAAAAGGCTGGAGCCATGCAAAGACAGTGATGCCAGACTACTGTTCTTCTCCTTCCTTTCTCGCTCCCTCCCCAAAGTTTCCAACCCCAAAGAAACCTCTATCGTGCAACAGGCTGCAATAGGTTTCTTCACCTGTACAGGAGAGGTGATAAAGGGAAGTGCAGTTCAGCAGCCTTCCTTTATGCTAAGCAGGAGACACTGTAGCTCCTTCTGCCGTTAGACACTGTTTCCAGGTTTGTGGCAGAATGGGTAGACAGATCCATTTTCAGATATTTTACATTTTCCTGTATCCCCTTTGGGGATGAGAAGTGTCACCAGCCCACTTAATGACCTTACTTGTGCCCTACTCATTGCAGTGTTACACGACCATTTCACTTGTCCCCTTTGCAGCCAGGCAGATCTCTTTTATTGTACCATCCATCTACCTCTGTGAAGCAAAACGCAGATCTTAGTAAGAAAGGGATACTCTTGTTCTCTACAAGACTGCTTCTAATGAAAACACCCCCCACTTAAGCCCTAGCAGTGGCAAAGTATGTGCTTGCATTTGGCTGACACGCTTCCTGGTTAGTTGCAAAAAGAATAGTTTTAATTTACCTTATAAAAATGTAGAAAGGAAGCCACCCTAAGAGAAAAGTAGTTTTATTAATTCAGCCCTTCTCTCATTACTCCTTAGTCAAAATGTACGTATTTCTATAAGACATATATGGTTACATAATGAAATAAAAAACCTAATGGCTCTTAGTAAAATTACAATTAAAGCAAGCCACTGTTTTTTCAATGGCTCTCACAGGCAGAAGACTAAGGAACAACTACAGCTAAGGTTTTACTGCTGAGCAAAACAGCTACATTAGGACTTACACATTAATCAGTCATATAACATTCACATTCATGTAATAAAGTCTCCTTCATATGTAGAAGCTTAGTTGCCTCACATGATGATTGGTACCAGCGTTTGTGTGTGAGTAGCTAATCCATTCTTTCAAGAAAGGATTTCTTAAGGAAAAGCCCCATGAAGACACTTAATGAAAGAGTGTTTCCTTATTTACTTGAAAGTAAGAACTGGAAGACCACTCAAAACCAGAGGAAGAGCTGTTTTCTGGAGGTCTAGTAGACCTGTTATTTTTTAAGTATTTTGCAGGACTCTGAGGAGCAGCCGTCGGAGAGAAGAGCAGGTATATGGGCAGATCAAGTAGGCATCCAGCTACTGTCTCTATTTCCTGCTGGCAAAAGCCTTCAGCTTTGGCATGCAGTGTTTACATCTTCCTGTGCCGTACGAATTCCTCCAACAAGGCTGGACTGCCTGGGGCACCAGGGGCTAACTTGTTGTTTCTAAATTGCTGGTTCAAATATAGCCTAGGAAATTAAAGTCACGGCCTGAGTGAAATGAGCCGGTAGTACCGTCAATTACCTGGCGGAGAGGCCATCCTAGACGGCTCAAATCATGCCCTCACGGACAGCTGAGAAAAGCAAGGGAGCAAATGTTTTCACAGACTGAGCTGCATTTTTCTCCCCAGGGACAGAGCCTTAGATTTGAAGCATAAAATGTAAATTTTGTGGCTTCTATATTATTCTTTCTATTTATAAAGGTTAGTTTCTATTCAGCTGCAATAAATGAACTCAATTTTGAAAGAGAAAACAAACTGAAGGTGTAGGGTTGCAGGGGCATATTAGGCAAACCCTTGTCATCATTTCCCAGCCAGACAGCAGTAGTAAAGCTTTACCAAGCTCTCTTCTCTCCCAAACCGAGCACCATACTTAGGGAAAATGGCTCAAGATACTAAGCTGACAGGCATTTGTAGAAGCATAGCTTTTGTACATCATCAAGAAACACCAAAGTGTTTATTTAGTTTAGGTACATCTAAGGCTAGAGCCAGTGAAGAACTAGAGATCTGAATGCTAGATGATAAAGCCTCCCGACACAAACTGAACCACATCTTTCCATCTCGGAGCGTCGACAGACAGTGAGGATCTCCCTGTGCTCTCTCGCACAGGCACATGGTTCGGTGCCTCTGTGCTGATGCACCACGGAGAACGAACACTGGAATGACAATTCCAGTAGACAGCACAGCTCTGAAAATGTAGCGGCCACAACACTGTAGATTTTGACTTCAGTGTATCATCTCTACACCTTGATTAACCCAAATTCTATTTTCATCTACAAATAAACCAACAGGTTATTGTTTTGTTGTGAAAACCTATTTTCCATAAAATGAAGTCTACTGGCACCCAAATTTAATTACATTCCCTGTTGTGTGTAACAAATTATTTTTACCAAAGCAGTTTAATACCTCTTGAAATATAAAAATTGTAAGAATATAGGCAATATTTGATGTAGATTAATTTTTGCTGTACCAAGAGAAACAAAATACCAACTGAATGTAAAGATCTGCCTAAAAAGTTATGAATGTGTGAATTCAGTTTACCCTTAATCAACTTCTATTTCATGCATTTCAAAATGTTGCCTTAACTCTTACAATTGCGATAAACAAAATGTCTGTATATGTGATATCCAGTGGGGCTGTACAAGCATTTAGCAAGATGTTTCCCCAAAGCAAAAATGAAGTAACAAATAGATGCATATCTGGGGGGGAGGCTGGTATTTAATTCTTGTATTTTCGTACAGATCTGAAATAAAAATCATTCTACTTATCATAGAATCATAGGATCATACAACAGTCCATGTTGGACAGCACCTTGAAAGATCACCTGGTCCAACCTTTCGTGGAAAGGGAGCCTAGATGAGATTATATAGCACCCTGCCCAATCACATCTTGAAAACCTCCAGTGATGGGGACCATCACACTCCTGGGGACATAGTTTCAGTGTAAAAAATTTCTTTCTTGTATCTGGATAAAACCTCTCCCAGTGCAGCTTGTACCCATTGCCTCTTGTCTTCTCCATGTGATTCCTTGTGAAGAGAGAACTTCCATCTTCTCTGTAGCCACCTTTTAGACACTAGAATACTTGAAAAGTCATAAACAACGCTTCAAAGTCTACTTTCAAAAAAAAAGTTAATTATTGATAATTCCCCAAACTGGACAATAAGGGGAATTACTCTTCTCTAGTATCTTTTTTTTTTTTTTTTTTCTTTACTGATACCTCTGCACTCAGTGAGGAAGTAAGAATGACAAGGCTACCCAAAATACTGTCAGAAAATTATGGTTGAAAGTAGCTTCCATCAAGCTGCAGTTTTTTGTCATTAGATATTCAGGGAGAAGGCAAACAAAACCAGGAATGGCTTGCGTATTGTCTCCAACATTAAACATACCATATGTAGGAGATACACCAGGAACTGGTGATGTACTTTGTATAGAACTTACACAGATGGTATTTCTCCCCTATACCACTCGCTCTTCAGTGAATAAAAAAGGGGAATTTCACGAATAGGAAGAACTGCATGCTTCCTGCATTCTCTGCTGCCCAGGACACAGGGTCTGGGGCAAGAGAAGTGTAACTTTAAGCTTTTGACCTTCCTTCAGTATGGTTTACTGCAGCTCTGGCAATGCACTGGCAGTGGCAGAAGCTGCTGGGCTTCCCTAGGAAACAGTCTCTAAAACACTCTGTCCATCAAGGCAATTTCCTGCTGGAAAACTTATAAAATTTGCTCAGTATTTAGAATCCATTATGAAAATAGGCTGTGATTCGAAGCTTCATCACACACTGTGTCTGTACACCTGTCTTCCTAATTCTGCTGTGAGGTGCCCAGAGAAAATGAGTTATATCTCGGTGTAGACCTAGTCAATGAGATCGGTGCAGGTCGGTCACAAGGTGGGTGAATGGGACTTGTCATCCACATTTATTCCCTCCAAAGCAAAATTAAATCCTTAAGAAAAGGCTGAACAGATGCAGAGCCTATTAGTGTACTGGAGCAGTAAGGGTACTTTGTGCAGGACTGCGTCCACCTGCAGCCTCCAAGACTATAGAACTTGGCTCCACAGACTGCAACTACTGATGAACCTTACTTTTTTTTTTTTTTTTAATTCCAGATAGTTTATTTTCTGCTCTTTTCTCCATTGTTTCTGTGTATTCAAATACTAGGAATTTGTATCATATCCCAGTCAATGAAACTAAAAACGTCAACAAGGCTTCTTCCAAAGTCAAAGCCGGAAAATGAAATGGACACATATGCATATGGTTTTGTGCCACATAAATCGCCTGGGGAAGAGACTCAGATGCGCGCTGTATCTGAACATAGACCTGACGGCAGGTAGTCATCACAGCACAGAGAGAGGCAACACACAGACTGCCTATGGAGGAGCAGCTGCAGTGGATCAGTTAAAACTCATTTCAGAACAATCTACTTGCTTGAAACTAGTAAACCAAATCAGTGTTTTTTAACGTTAAACTGGCTCGTGTATTGGGAGCTGAGGAGTGTGGGTGCACAGCTTCACCTGGCCCAGAAACCTTCCAAGGACGAGGCCACGGCCGCTGGCCTGCTCTCTTCTGGAAGCACCGAGCAACGGGCCGGCAAGGCGGGCCCGGGCACCTCCTGTCCCTCCTGCAGCGCTCCGGGCACCGGGAGTTTCCACCCTTGTCCTCTCCCGCCGCTGAACACCGGCCCGCCGGGCAGGGCGAACGCTTCCCGGCTGCTCACGGAGCTGCTCGTCACCCGCCCGCCAACAAACGGAGGACGCCGGGGTCAAGCCCCGGGTCCCGACACGTTTCCTCCGGCAGGCCCGGGGACGGGGCGGGGACGGGGCGGGCGGCCGGGGCCATCCCGAGCAGGGGCCGATCGCCGCCACAGCCGCCGGGGCAGCCCGCGCCCCTCGGCCCGCCGCGCCGCCGGGATGAGGCGGGCCGGGCCCTGGTGCCTGCTCCTGGCCGCGGCCTGCGCCCTGGGCCGGCCCCCGCCGCCGCGGGCTGCCGTGCGCTGCCTGCCCGCCGGCGCCTGCTTCAGCGCCCACCTGGCCAACGGCTCCTACGCCGAGGCGCGCAGCGCCTGCAGCCGCCGGCGGGGCGGCCTGGCCTGGGTCAGCGGCGAGCCGGAGCTGCGCCTGCTGCTGGGGCTGCTGGCGGAGGCGGCAGGGCGTCCCGCGCCCTCGCTCTTCTGGGTCGGGCTGAAGAGGAACGCCTCCGCCTGCACCGACGCGGCGCGGCCGCTCCGCGGCTTCTCCTGGGAGGGCTCCTCCGACGGGGCGGCCCCGCCGGAGCTGCCGGCGGCGCTCGGCCGGTGGGCGAAGGAGCCCGTGCGGTCCTGCCTGACCGCCCGCTGCGCCGGGCTGCAGCTGGACGCGGCCCCGGCCCCCGGCGACGCCCCCGGCTGGGGCTGGAAGGAGCGGCTCTGCCAGCGGGAGAGCCAGGGCTACGCCTGCAAGTACCAGTACGAGGGCGCCTGCCCCGACCTCCGCCCCGCGGGCGCCCTCGACCTCGACTACCGCCTCCCCTTCGAGGAGCGCAGCGCCGGCCCCGGCTTCAGCCCGCCGGGCACGGCGCTGGCCGTGGCGTGCCCCGGCGGGGAGGTGCGCCTCGCCTGCCGGTCCCGGCCGGGCGGCTTCGCCTGGGAGGGCGCGGAGGAGCCGCTCTGCCCCTGCGGCCCCCGGGGCCCCGGCAGCGGGCGGTGCGCCCGGCCCCCCGGCTGCCTCCGGAGGCTTTGCCTGCGCCTGCAGCCCGGGCGGGCGGGACGGGACGGCCCCCACCGCCGCGGGCGGCCCCGCGGAGCCGCCGGGCGCAGCGGCAGAGGAGAGACGTCCAGCAGCTCCGCGGGGCCGCCCGTCGCCACCACCGCCGGCGGAGAGAAGAGGGCCGCTCCGCCCTCCTCCTCCTCCTCCTCCTCCAACTACGTTTTCGTTCTGGTGACGGTCGCGGTGGTGGTGCTGGTCATCCTGGTCATGACCGTCCTGGGGGTCTTCAAGCTCTGCTTCAACAAGAAAGCCGAGGGCCGCGGGGACAAGGAGCTGCGGGAGGCCGGGAGCAAGGCGGAGGCGGGCTCCGCGGAGCCGTGCGGAGCGGCGGGCGGCGAGTAGCCCCGGGGCGGCGGGGGCCCGTCCCGCGGGGCTGCGCCGGGAGGCAGCTCCCACCCGCGGCAGCGCTCGGCTCCCCCCGTCTCTTGCCCCCAGCCCCGGCTGCCGCGGGGAGCCGCGGAAGAGGCACCGTGGGACGTGGGACCTGCAGCTCGTCAGGCGTGGGGGGGCGCGCGGCCGACCCCTTTTCGGGGGCTTGAACGGGGAGGACAGTCAGGAGTTTTTGTCGGTCTGAGAACCATGTATTTAGGTGCTGATATTAAGTAACACATAAATATAGTGGCCTGGCTGACAGAAGGATTGCTTATCTGCAGCTGCAACAGTTGCGGGTTTTTAATCTCGGAAATTTGTTCGGGTGCCTGCCGTGGAGCAAGTGTAAAGGGGAGCACTTTGAATGCTAGTGTCTTGTAATTTCTTGTCTGAGTGGTACTTGCAGGCTCTCATTTTCTTTCTAATTGCTGGAACGTTTGGAGATGTGAACTGCCATAATTTTGGAGGAAACCTTGACCCATACTTTTCAGACTGACGTTCGTATACATGAAGAGCATTTCTATACTTAGAAGGTCATTAAATTGCTGAAGAAGTGGGAGGTTAATGGGGAGTCAGTTTTATACTTCAGCTGATGAAAAGAATAAAGGGTGATTTAAAACCTAAATCATTGCTCTGTTTGTTACTTCATACAATATTCATTTTTGCTGCAGCAGAGCAACACATTTTTCAGTTACAGTTTTTCTCCTAAGGTGCGCTGGTACAAAACTTGGTTTCTGCATGCAGTATGTGGCTCCCTGTTGCAGAAACTCCCAAACCACTTAACAATAAAAAAAAGCGAAAATTTATTTTTATACACAATTTATCAGTATTCTGCAAACATACGAACAACAGGTCCAAATGTCCGTGGGAAGAGAACAAGCTATCACCACACAAACTTCTGGGGTTTAACAACAACCCAAAACACCAACCAGGGGTTTAACGACAACCCAAAATGCTCAATCACTCACCTAATAAAAGGTGAGGACTCTCAACCTTGTCAAACTTCTCAGGGCAGCGTCCCAACCCGTAGGAACCCCGAGGAGTCTCCTTGGGCAGCGTCCCAACCCAAGGGGAGAGCCCTTACCTGCAGCACACTGCTCCGGGCGGGACAAGCTCAAAATTGCTCCCCCCGGGACTGCATTTATACCCGAGCCGAATCTGACCTGTGGTCAATATCAGCCTGTATTGGCCAAAGACCCCAACTACCATAAAACCCTGAGAACAAGGGCACAGGAAAGGTTCAACAGCCAGGGAGCCACAGTTCCATTGGGCGGGTGCACCTGCCACACTCCCATACAATCAGAGAAGGTGCTGACAAACTGCACTGTGATGAGAGTTAACGTGGGTCCAAATACATCATGCATATCCCATTCTTTTTAGTCGGATAGATTGTTTTCTGTGGACTCCCTTGAGAGTAAGGAAAGATTCACCTTTTGTGCCCCTTTTTAAATGGGGTAAACACTTCTTTGTGAGCTCCCTTGGGAAATCCCATAGAGCAGCTTTCGTCCTGGCCACAGAACTGGTTTACTTTTGCTGATGCTCACTTCTTATTATTGGTGTTGGTCTTCTATTAAAGTGGTAATGCTAAATATTGATTGGAGATTTTCTGAGTGCAGTAAGATATAACTAACTGGATCTCATCCAAGCCTTTTGGGGCACAGGGAGGGTAGGGGAATATTTTCTTCCCTTAAAAGAACATTAAACTCAAATGTCTTTTCAAAGATGTTTTTTTAGTTTGTTTTCCACTCTTTAGAGCTGACCTGACTACTGCTTTCATTTTGTCATTTTCCTGTTGAGTTTGGAGAACCCTGTTTGAAACAATGTGTATTATTACCTATTTTTCTTGCAAGCAAAGAGTTGAAGATTGATGTGGTGTAAACACTTGCTAAAGATAAAGTATGTCATATCATGGGGTTTTGATTTTTCCCTCTGTGAGAGATGACTTGTAACTCCCTGAAACAGGGACTGAGAAAAACAGCCTGAGAAAGAGAGTAGGGATGGTGGGGAGCAGAGGCTTTCTGAGTCGAATAATGCCTCAAACACTCGCAAGTAATGAAACTATAGTCACAGGGTGGATAATGGGAAGTCTGGAGCTGATGAGGCCTCCTGATTAGCACAAGATACGGCTGGAGGAGGGGGCCCTGCAGAGACAGGACAGTTCTGCTCTGGTGCATGTTGTGAAGCTTCAAGGTCCATCTGTCTGGTGAATGACCTTTGCTTCATTATCCATGAAATGCGTATTAAAGTTGACACCCCTGAATATACTAATGAAGATTAACAAGATCATGGTAATTATATCATCCCATGAATCACCTTCCTCCTCCCCATACATGTGATATGTAGGTATCTGGGTCGACCTAGGGGAGGGACCCAAGGAAGGTGTGTATAAATTGAGGGGGGGGGGGGGTGGGGCGAGGAGTGAAAAAAAGCAAGTAATAGAAAGAAAGAAAAAAGACATGAAGAAGACAGATGAGTCCTTGTTGAACTTGGGACGGGATCAGTGCAGGAATCCAGACCAGTGATCTTTGTTTCTGTTCTCTCTCTTTATCTCTCCTCTTTTTCCCCTTTTCCCTTATGACCATGAAGCAACACAAGGCATACTATATCGCTTGCCATAATTCATCATATACTTAGCCAATTATCATGTATCCAATTAGTACATTGTGGGAAATTAATAAATGCTTGTGCATGGACTTTGAGACTTGTCTTGCTGTTGTATACTCTGTTGGGGATTTATGAATCTAAGTCACTTGTCACCCTCAGGTGAGTGAGATATGACATCCTCTCTGCTCAATGATGACAGACTGTTGCTATCTGGGAAACAGTCTTTTGCTTTTGTTAAGGGGATCCTAGACATTTGTGAGCCATCAGGCTGTCTAGCCATAAATTCCATTGTGGCATGACAAGAATGAAGTCCAGCTAGGTAAGAATGCTACTCATTACAAAGCGGTCTCATAATTTGCATGCTTTTCTAATCTGTTTATCTGACTTTTGTATTTCAGAAGGCAAGCATTTTTAAGCCTCAGCAGAAGGCTTGATTCTACATTCAGATGTGCACAGACCTGGAAAATTACTTAGCTGTTAATGCCTTTTGTCTTAATACCACACCTGTTACTGTCACTGTAAGTAATTTGTTTTAGGGGTCAGTGTATGTGGAGCTTTGTTCTTCTACAAGGGGCTGTATAAGAAAATAGCAACTAAGATGAATGAGAGTCTCCCTAAGTTATTATTTCTATGTTTTCCTCTTTCCCACAGATCAGATGGCTGAACTCTGAATGGGATTGTACAACTGTGCAGGTGTGTTTTACCAAGCTCTAGGAATACTCTTATTCTGTCTCGGGAGTCTGACCAAGCACACAGCCAAGTGCTGAGTTAAGCGCCTGTAACTGACTGCTTCTTTTGGCATCTCTCAGGATTTGACTTGGACTATTCAGTTAAAAGGTACGAGTTCATGCCCTTGAAAGCCATTCACCTGTCTCATTCTTATTTCGCTCTTTGCCTTGACTTCCTGTGAAATCACATTTTGATTTCAGAGTTCTTTTTCTTACACTCAGCATTCAGGATTAAGCATTAGATATTTGTGTAAAGGACTACACCAGGATTCTGTTATGTTTTCCTTGGTTTATAATTTGACTCAGCTGAAACCAAACTATTTTGCATCCAAGGATGGGATCCATCCCATCAGGGGTAAGACATCTTTAACAGCTCATCTGGACTTGTCTGCTCACCTAGACTCCCTTACAGCCTGTGGAGAGAAGTATGTACTTGCGATTTCTCTCATTTTAGACTAGATGCTGAAAACAGGCCCAATGAATTGCATCCTAAAAGTGCCATTGCTCTACGTCAACTGTAAAGAAAGCCTAGGGAGGCTATTCATATTTTAATGCCAGTAACACACACATCTAAAATTAAATCAGAGAAATTAGCTAACCTAAGTCTCCAGCTGTGAAAGTCAGTTTTCTGAAAGCAAGCTCACAGTGCCTTTTCAAGGCATGGCTAAATGGCCATAATTTTACCATAGCTTCTATTGTTTTTACATGCTAGAGATTCTTGTTTTGTCTGTTTAGGTTTCTTTACCTTCTTTTTTCAGGCATTTCAGTACAAAGCCAGTAGCATTTGGATTTGATTGGAACCTGAGCAGGTTTGAAATGTATGAATATCTCTTCCTTTCATGGTTCAGACCAAGAAGTGGGTGGTTTGGGAGAAAGGATAAATAATTTTTGCTTTCCACTTTCAATTTTAGTTGTGTCTTTCTTAAATAGGAAACCAACAGAAAACTTAGTTGCAACATGAACTGTTGGCTCATATCATATCCATGATTCAGTGGTCCTCAAGGCAGATTCAGTGCCAGGTTTGCTGTTTACATTTGTAGGAGGAGAATAAGTAAGGTCATAGTGAGTACAGATAATCATAACAAGGATTTATATAATAAAAGTGTCTGGTTATGAAATTGGATGCAACTTTCTTTTAATTCTGATGTAACACTATAGGTAAAACATAATCAAACGTAAATATTTTTCTAGAACATAGCAGAGATGGAGACAAATCTTGACCTTTTTCCTCATGTTATTTACATGTCTGTTGACTAAACATATTATATAAGCATATAATATTGCAACTGTTTTGCAGTACAGGAAAAAGATTATTTCATCCCATCTTAAAGCCATATAAATCACATATAAACTTTTTATCTGCGAGTTTTAAAATGGGTACATTTGTATGGAGGACTTTAAATAATTTAGTACTTTCAATTCTAGTTGTTCATATTAGGTGGGATTTTTTTAAATTGTAAATTCTGTGAGGTAATGCATAGTGTTGTAGACCCTGGCTCTTGACTAGAGGACTAGATGTAATAATGTAATGGTGATGAAATGGTGGATATAAGAATCTGTTGGGTCCACATTTTATAAATGGTGATTTCTGCAAAGAGTAGGGATGTCCAAACCTCTTATCTATTGCAGTGATCCAAAAAGTGTCCCCTGTTGCCAATTATTAAATCTAATTTTTAGATTTCCTGAATTCCTCCAAAGATAGTTTGACTGGTAGGCACATAATTTGTTAACTGTAGATTTTATCCATGAGCGTGTGATGAATATTTAATAGTTTGTATTCATCAAATAATCAGAAATAAAATTTTAATTTTCCCCAAATTTTTAATAATTATTTATGCTGCTGAGGGCTTGATTAAGTGTGTTATGGGATTAAAGTGAAATCTAAAAGTGGACATGGGCAAAATTCAAATACTTCAAAGGACTTTTCTGCTTTTTTAAGTGTAATATATAGCTTAAAGAAGATTAGAAAATGAATGGATTCTGTGCTTCCCCCAGGAAGCATAATTTCCTACCACTTAATTTTTTCATGTTTTCAGCCCTCATTATCTTTCCACATTTATCACATGGAGCTTAATCACTAGTACATGCAACTTAGTTCATTCTACAAATAATATTTTCTGTTTCTTCAGGATGTGGACATTTATCAAAGCTGTAGAGTGGTGATTCATACATTTCACTGATGATTTATAACTGACATGGAAGGCAAGGACAGCAAGGCAGCAGCAGTAACCACACTCCCCGGTCTTCAAAATAGGTTAAACTTCATGCCTTCGTTCTTCCCCCTATATGCAGC